ATGGATCTCAGTTCTACCAAGGCATGTTTTTACTTTCTCCTCTTTACTGTCTGATCAACCGAAAAATTATCTGCATACACGATTACACGGCTTCAATAAGAATCCAAGTTTGAAGCACTCAATTTCCAGTCTCCACAATCATTACGACATTGTAAAATGGTTTCCAATGACACTTCATTTTTAACACACTCACCTTATATAAAATGGTTTCAAATGATTGTTTATAGCCGAGCTCTTTAATAATAAATGATGATTAGCTTGAAGTTTAAAATCTCTATCTGGAATCTCTTATTTATGTGTGTCGTGGTGTGAAGCTCAGTTTGTGTTTGTTTTTTGGAATGGAGAATGTGAAGAAACGAAAATTTAGTTACATTTTCCCTCCATTATGAGGATTTCTTTCTTTCTATTTGCTTGAAAAGAACTAGGAGGAATGGAAAATGTTGGGGGGGGGGGGGGGGGGGGTCTCTGGTTATCCTCAATGCTACCTCCTACAGAGGAAGGTAGTACAGCACTATTTAAATAAAAATTACTTAGTATATCGAAAACCACAACTTTTTAGCCTTTGAAAATATGTCTATCTTCCGACTTATTTCGCGTTAAGACCCGCCACATTCTTTCTCCCAACTAAAAGAAAAAGGAGGAAAAGGAATATGAGAAAACAGTTCTGCAAAAGCTGACATGCATTGTTATCTTTATTTTGCAATTCATATTGGAAATCTCCTCTGATTTTTCTATTACTGGATCATTTGCAATCAGGTTTACCTACAGGAGCGAGGTAATGAAATGTCGAGAAAACTGATGGGCTTGCTTGGAACATTTAGACAAGGTGACCCATCATACTATCAAATATGTCACCTAGTAAGACAAGGTGAACAGCCCAGGGAAGGATTCTTCTTACTAAGAAATCTAGTCGAGGACCAGTTTGGTGGTACAAATGGCTATATGGATTGGATTGTGCAATTACACCGGCAAATCCAGCAGAATGCGTAACACAGGTAACGATCTCAAGTAATTTGCTATAGTTAGTTAAATCACACAAATTAACTTGCTTCCAATATGTCTATCCTCTTTGAGTGGACTATTCATCTGTTTTCTTACTCTTATTAATTAATAACAAAACACATATGTTCTGATACCTTTTTGATTCCTTTTGTTGATCTGTTTGATAACGCGGGTGTCCTGGACCTTTGACCCTAATAATTCTGCAGGGTCCAGTAGTCAATGAACGGGTAAACCTCCAGTGGCCATACGAGGGATTCAAACTTGTGACAGAACTTTTTATTCCTGGGTTTGAACTAGTTGAACTACCTCCGAGAAGGTTATCTTTGCTTAGTATTAGTATTACTTAGGGGAAGGGGTCATCAGGTGTTTTAAATGATGATTGCCTTCAATTAATAATTTATTCCTAACAGTATATCTGTCATGGACAACATTTGCACATGGTATATTACAATTTGTGCCCAACATATGAGTTAATTGTAATTTCCTATAGTGGTATTGAATATTTTATTCCCCAGACCACTTTCTTGAGCCTGTTGCTCGGTGCACCTATGTGCAAATTATTGGGCCATTGAAGTAATTTTATTGGTTTTTACTTTGGTGTACTGAGGTTACTCATCTCCCTTCTCAGTCCTCAGGTTTTGAAAATGCGTTTGTTTTTAAATTGTTAAATCACTCAAGTTTTAACTCAAGAATATAATAGAAAAAATCATCTTGTAAATACTACCATTATTGCTGATCTGTATTCAAATTTATGATCAGGGCATTTTCTTGGCAAAACTTTTAGCTATCCTTCATTCCTTCCCATTTGCAACGCTGTTGGGAAGGCCAGGTTTTGTACTTGCAGCTGAATTTGGCGAGGTAGAAAACAAGAAATTCCTTCTGTTTGTTGACACTTATTTTTCCTGTCCTGTGAAAATGGAGCTTTAGTCGATCTGGTGCTTTGAGTCGGAAAGATTTGAATTTAAATAACCTTAGTAATGGAAAAGAGAAAACAATAAAATGGTATGGAAAGTGGACGATGATCCCATTGACTTATCTGGATTCTAGTGATTTTTATCAACTCTTTTCTTTTTGCAGAAAAACAGCTCAACTAGCACTATGTAAATCGTTACCGAGTAAATTAACAAGACAACTAGAACTCTAGGAGGATTAGGATGTTTTTATTTGGATCGTAATCCCAGACCAGTTCAAACTGGACTTGGATAATTATATAAATACAAAGAGACCGGACATTACCAGACTAGTTCAGACCAGACTAGATCAGATCAGACTAGATCAAACCAGACCAGCAAATTACGGTCCAAGTAAAAACATCCAAAGTACCAAATGTGGTGATCACTAAGAATCTCCTGCTCTTGCTTACGTGAGTAGTCTTGTTGCAGAACGCCTAAGATAAAAGAGATAATACTTATGAACTCGGTGCCAATGTCTCTAATGTCAAGAGTCATGTGGAAGAAGAGTTTGGACCCTTTTGATTATGGGAAATGGTCTATAGTGAGTCTGACTCCACATCCACAAAGTCTCAATCTTGGTCTTTCAGTCAGTTAGGAGCCTCCCTAGTGTCAATTAATTCTGCTTCTTACACCTACCTGGCCATGGCATCGCCCCCCTTGCAAAAAACTCCCCACCCTCTTCCCGAAGAACCCACCTGAATTGGCAGCCAGAAGGAATAACTGCATCTACATTAAACTTGCCACTTGCCAGAAAGTTGTTTGCAGCCAATTGTGAAATGAGTCTAGCGGCTGAGTGTCAAAGGATAACGAAGCCCATTTTCCCAAATTAACATTTGACACACATTAATATACTCTGTATAACACAATACAAGTATATACCATTTTACGATACAAGTACATACCACAAGCACAACACCATTTGTATAAGATCAACATAACTCATAAAATCAATATGAAAACTTTAATGAAATAAAACACAAGTCAGCTAACATATACTTCATGTGGTGGCTTAAACAAGTTTGCATTGACCTTCACAGAGCTCAATTTTCAATAAATTTATGGAAATGCAATTTCGCTTTTATTTTCAGAAATACCCTTTTATTGAGTAAATACTATAGTGGAATACACTAGTTGACGACTTGACGTTTTACAATTGTTATTACTTGAGGGTAGGAAAGTTAATTGAACATTTTCTTTACCAAATAAGCAATAATGACTTAATTTAAAGGTATCTAACAAATGAATACACGGAGTTAAAATAGGAATGAGAAGAGTTTTTTGTTGTTGTTGTGAGTGATTTGGCCTTTTTGAAGATCTAAGAGCATCCGCAATGCATAGCCGTCTAGTGCAGATTTAATATGCCACCTCATACAATTAGACTTTGTGCATCTTTTATTTGCTCCGATGGGTGTAGTCTTTGCTGAGTTGGCAAAGAAATAACTGGACACCGTGAAGGAGGGTTTTCAAGTGTGGAAAGTGTGATGAACTTGCTGACTCAACACATTTTAATAAAAAACGGTACGAAAACGAAAAAGTAGCCAAAACTTCAGCGGAAACCCCTCGCCCACCACTCTACGTCCCAAAATCACAGTATGATCAACTACGTTACTTTATACAGAGTATATTTATATATTTATATATTTATATCTTATATAAATTGCAGAAATTAGAACTTTCCTTAATTCACTATAACAAGATATCAGAACTCTCATACAAATATACAACACATTCATGTACGTACATATCCTGCATGTTCCAACAAGCACATGTATATACGTCGTAGTCGTTTCGTATTGGGCCAAAACATAACATACTCCGGTAATAATTATATACAGGGTACTTGGTATATGTGTGCATTATGTATGTAAATTAAAAGAGGATTCACGTATGACGTACTTTAACATGAATACACGATGCACCGACTTCAAATATTGTATAGTATAGATGTGGGAAATGGTTAATTTAATATGTAGATAGATATTATCATTTTAATTAAAATAAAAAATAATTCCGCCTGGACATTTGAATTGTACAGACGGACTACATGCATTGGAAGCTTTTTATTTGTTTCAATGTACCGTCACTTCACTATGTACAATTTAGCTAGAAAGGCCTTTTGTTTAATTGACATGTGGCACACTTTATTTGGACTAGAAGCTCCAGCATTGTGGATGCTCTAAGATTGAATGGATGTTTAATGAAATTTGTTCTAATTATTAAGGGATGAGATGAAATTATGGTGCTCATTTTTATATGAGAATGTAAATTAAAGTTGTTACTCCGTATTAATTACGGAATTTAGAAAATTAGACAGTAGAAACCAGATGAAATTTATGTTTTTTTAGAAAAGAGATTTATGTTATTTAATGCTTCTATATTCTCAAATTAAGATTTATGTTCTTTTCATGAAAAATCAATTAAACCTTTTTTTTAGCTTTGCGTGTTTTTAGAGGATCTGTTAACAACAGGCAACGCCAATTTATTATTTATTTATTATTTCTTGCGATGATGAAAATAAAAAGTATGTATAGACTAGTGTAAATTTCTTTTTGTTGTTGGGGAATGGCCATCCTGTACTTTTCTATAGTCCACCTCTGCCCAAAGGGCCAAAGTACAAAAAATTATTTTGGATTATTATTCTCTCTATCCTTTAAAACTTTGTCAAGTTTAATCGGCACAAAAACAACAAAATAAAAACTGTGTGATTAAATTTTGTGTATAAGAGAAATGAATGATAGAAACCACAAGTTCATTGATTAAACAAGAAAGTGATTTTTTTTTTGTGACAACAAAAAAAGAATAACAAAATTTTAAGGGACAGAACCACTATAATTTTTTCAATAGTGCTTGAGCCAGTTTGAGACGCTCCTTTTAATTTCGGTGCCAAATGAGGTAAAAATATTCGGTGGCATCTATGAGATCAAATGAATCTAGAATGTTTAGGGTAGATGTCCAATACAGTGACACTACTTTGATGATGCTAAAGAAAGCAATGGTCGAAGATAGGAAAAGCATTAGATGCCATGCCATTACTATAACAACACTCCAAATCAAATAAATTCTAACCAACGCAATTTAAAGGAACTATCTTTATTTTTATTTTCCTATCTTTTTTATTTCTCCCTTCAAGAATGGAAATGGATCATCACCTAACTTCAAACATGATAGCAGAGTACAGAGAAGCTTTCAGCCTATTTGACAAAGATGGAGATGGTAAGATGGTTACATGTTCATTGATATCACTCACTCACATTATGTTCAGGACCGTCGAATAAATTTGGAACACCCCATTTTAAATATTATATATATTGAGGCCCGGAGAAGTATACAATTACACGGAGCATAATAAAAGGGTAAAATCCTAATAATAAAAAAAGATTACAATCCACGGTAAATTAAACAAAAATTATATTTTCTACATACTATATACTTGTACTACTAAGTATTTTTAAACGGGACCCCATTATTAGTGCCCCCTGCTACATATAGCCTACTCCAGTATATAACATGTCATTAGGTGGCCCTGATTAAGGTGTATGTGGTGCGGTTCTAGTCTGATTAAAAGAACATTAATGAGTTGAATATGTGAATTGTACTCTGTATATGACAGTTTAATTTATTGTCTGCTTTTGCTATAAAAGGACAAGAATGTGACTAAGAATATAGGTACAACATTACCTATATTCTGCTTTTGAACTACTATACAAGCATTTCACTAAGGAACTTGATTCTTCAATCTAATAATTGATCGAATAAGGCACATGTTACTTAAAAGAAGAATATATGTGGATGCAGATCGATTCATCAAATTTAATTTCAAAATGAATTCATAAAATTCCATCTGATTTTTAATAATCAAATAAATTTTGTTTAATTCTGATCTACCAATGCTGATGATTTTTAGTTTTCTTTTATTATAAAAACAAATATTATGCTTAGTATGTTTTTCACTACAAATTAAATTGTTAAGTAATTATACTTTAAATTATTTATCATAATTTATGGTACTGAAAATAATTTGTTATCTGTACTTTTAAACAAAATTTAAGCAAAATCATACGGAGTATACAGAATTGAATACTAGCGTGATAAAAGAAAGAAATAATTACATATTTATGTCTAAAATAAAAATTGTTTACAAAAATGTGACTAATGACTAAAGTAATAATGAAATCATAGTAACTTACGTTCAAATTTAAACTTAAGTTACCATCACATTACATCGTTGTAATAACTATTAGTCATATTTGTACAAATAAGTTTTATTTTAGTAATATTTTCGAAAAAAAAAACCCGAGCTGAGTGACTGCTCATGACATCGGTGGCGGTGAGTGGTATGACTAGTGATACATTTGATTATATTTTGTTTTCAACTTTTCATTATAATTGTAGTAATAAGTTTGGAAAATTCTCCATATTTAATTTATTACATGGAAATGCATGTGTGCAGGCCAGATTACTAGCCAGGAGCTGGGAATAGTATTAAAATCATTGGGACAAAAGGTAACAGAAGCAGAGGTGGAAGAGATGATCCGTGGAGTGGATCATGATGGGAGTAAGACAGTAGACTTTGAAGAGTTTGTAGGGCTAATGCGTAAGAAGTTGAAGGATAAAGAAGTGGAGGCGGAGCTAAAGGCGGCGTTCCAGATTTTCGACAAGGACCACAATGGGTTCATCTCCGCCGCTGAGCTCCGCCACGTCATGACGAATTTAGGTCAGAAGTTGTCTGAGAACGAGGTTGATGAGATGATGAAGGAGGCCGACGTTGATAACAATGGCGGGATTGATTACCAAGAGTTTGTCAAGGTCATCGTATCCAAGTAAGATCATCATATCTTAGGTAGCCATTTTTCACAAAAGGTTTGCATGCTATACTCTTATAATATATGATCTAGTAGGGAAATTAAAATATATGGAAGGCAAAAATAGGGAGAAAGATCAATTGGGTACTGGTTAGATGCGAATCGGTCACTAATTAGATTTCAAATGGATCAAATTAGACACTATGATTATATATAAATCTCATATTGACCACTAAGGTTTGTAGTTATAAGAAGATGAGCCACTTAAAGACGGATTGGGATCCTCTACCCGACTAGGAGGGTGCCTTGCGCATCGGACGGGAGGGGAGCGGCCAACACGGCCTCGAGATTGGCGAAAAAGTGGAGTCCAAGATCTCCGACCGTTGAATTATCGATCGGACGACCGGGAGGAAGCAAGGCACTCTACCTTACTCTAAAGTAAGGTAGAGGCTCCGGATCCCTTAAAGACCTAAGCGGGAACCAATCCACATCCATATTTTTATTAGCTTGATCTCCTTACTGTTGGCTCTATCCCTCCGAAATCAACGTGTTGACCGTGTTGTTCCCAGGTTGACCTCATTGACCATCTAGCTCCGATGATTGATCTGCAAAATAATCACTAAGAGAGCTAAAAGTATATTAGTCGGCTCGAGACGCGTCAGACGATGTCCTAAGGAATTATTTCCGGCGTACGGAAATTTCCCCCAAGATATAACGAGCACTTCGGTATGACACCGGAAGCAGAACTAACGAGAAGAAAATATTTATATGAACCCAATAATCATTTGAATTAGATACTTTTCCAAGATGCTTGACACCTCATGAGCCATATACGTTGCTCAATCACTTGAATTAGTGTGCATCAAATCAATATATATATATAAAAGAGGAACTTTTTAAGAGCATACGGCGCGCCACATAATTCTGCCATGTCATCATATATAATAATTATGTAGTATTTAAATAACGTTTTATACCTTCTATTTTTTATTACATTCTATTTTTTATTGCATATTGATATGGAAACAAATGAGATAGAATCCACCTTATTTGGTAATTTTTGAGAACTTATTACGGAGTATGTATCAATTACTCCCTCCGTATTTAAAAGTTCCCTACACTTTCCTTTTTGGGATGTATTTAAAAGTTCCTACACTTTCTCTTTTGGGTAAGTTCTTCCTTTAAATATACTCAATTACCCTTACTTTTTCTACTTTTTATCATCTATTTCCTACTTTTTCTATATTATTCATTATTCTTACTATTCTATTGAAAAAATAAATTATCCGTGATTTCCCCACCTAACAGATAAACCAACCAAATTCCTATTAATATTGTTCTTCAAAGTTATTTTATACACTTGGTGTAATATAAAGTTGTTTGATAATACTAAAGTTTAGTATTTTATTTTTGTAAAATAACTTTTTTGCATTGAGTAATGATCCATTTTTTACATTTTCAATATGACGAAATAATGAGTAAAATGTTAAAACTTAAAAATACTTATTTCATACCATGTTGAATGAGAAATAATAATAAAAAAAAATAGTGTTTTGAGATGCTTGATAAAGTAATTTAAAGTATGTGAGATAAATAAAAAAACTTTTTTGTGAATTCTATAAAATCGGGTTCATAACAATTATGTTTAATTAGTTGGGATGCTTATGTAGAAGTCCATTTTTTTTAAAAAAAAATATATAAGTTTTTATTTTATTTTATTAATGATATATGTAGTATTTTTTTTTTTTTTTGCATAATTCGGGAGATTCCATTAATTCAGTCTAATCAGTTAGATTTAATTCATTACAGTAGAATCAGACAATTCAAGCCCGTGCGATGCACGGGCAGTATATAATTTAGCTAATTATAAATTTGATACTTTCATAATCATATATAATTTAATGTGATGCAAAACTAAAATAAACTCGGTCTCATATAAAGCCATTTGATAATATTAAAATTGGTCGAATTGTCTGACTCTATCGTAATGAATTAAATCTAACTTATATGGAGTACTACGTATTACATATATAATTAATAAAATAAATTAAATTTTATAGGAAAAATATTTAAAATAGACTTCTACATATAAGCATCTCAACTAAACATAATTGTTATGAACTCGATTTTAAAGAATTCACACAAAAGGTTTTTAATTAATTTCACATCCTTTATATTACTTCATTAAGAATCTCAAAAACTATTGTTTTTAAATATTTCTGATTCAACTTGGTATGAAATAAGTATTTGTAAATTTTATTAGTAAGATCTTACATTTTATTCATTATTTCGTCACATTGAAAATCTGAAAAATGGACCATTTTTACAATTTACTCATTTAATTCGTCACATTGAAAACGTCATTAATAAGGATATTTTTAATTAGATTGACATTATCAGTTTTAATTTGGTCTGGAGTAATACAATGCGGGATATGTCTATTTTATGTATGTATAACTTTAACAATAACAACAACAATAACAATAATAATAATATAATAATAATAATTACTATTATTATTATTATTATTATTATTATTATTATTATTATTATTATTATTATTATTATTATTATTATTATTATTATTATTATTATTATTATTATTATTATTATTATTATTATTATTATTATTATTATTATTATTATTATTATTATTATTATTATTATTATTATTATTATTATTATTATTATTATTATTATTATTATTATTATTATTATTATTATTATTATTATTATTATTATTATTATTATTATTATTATTATTATTATTATTATTATTATTATTATTATTATTATTATTATTATTATTATTATTATTATTATTATTATTATTATTATTATTATTATTATTATTATTATTATTATTATTATTATTATTATTATTATTATTATTATTATTATTATTATTATTATTATTATTATTATTATTATTATTATTATTATTATTATTATTATTATTATTATTATTATTATTATTATTATTATTATTATTATTATTATTATTATTATTATTATTATTATTATTATTATTATTATTATTATTATTATTATTATTATTATTATTATTATTATTATTATTATTATTATTATTATTATTATTATTATTATTATTATTATTATTATTATTATTATTATTATTATTATTATTATTATTATTATTATTATTATTATTATTATTATTATTATTATTATTATTATTATTATTATTATTATTATTATTATTATTATTATTATTATTATTATTATTATTATTATTATTATTATTATTATTATTATTATTATTATTATTATTATTATTATTATTATTATTATTATTATTATTATTATTATTATTATTATTATTATTATTATTATTATTATTATTATTATTATTATTATTATTATTATTATTATTATTATTATTATTATTATTATTATTATTATTATTATTATTATTATTATTATTATTATTATTATTATTATTATTATTATTATTATTATTATTATTATTATTATTATTATTATTATTATTATTATTATTATTATTATTATTATTATTATTATTATTATTATTATTATTATTATTATTATTATTATTATTATTATTATTATTATTATTATTATTATTATTATTATTATTATTATTATTATTATTATTATTATTATTATTATTATTATTATTATTATTATTATTATTATTATTATTATTATTATTATTATTATTATTATTATTATTATTATTATTATTATTATTATTATTATTATTATTATTATTATTATTATTATTATTATTATTATTATTATTATTATTATTATTATTATTATTATTATTATTATTATTATTATTATTATTATTATTATTATTATTATTATTATTATTATTATTATTATTATTATTATTATTATTATTATTATTATTATTATTATTATTATTATTATTATTATTATTATTATTATTATTATTATTATTATTATTATTATTATTATTATTATTATTATTATTATTATTATTATTATTATTATTATTATTATTATTATTATTATTATTATTATTATTATTATTATTATTATTATTATTATTATTATTATTATTATTATTATTATTATTATTATTATTATTATTATTATTATTATTATTATTATTATTATTATTATTATTATTATTATTATTATTATTATTATTATTATTATTATTATTATTATTATTATTATTATTATTATTATTATTATTATTATTATTATTATTATTATTATTATTATTATTATTATTATTATTATTATTATTATTATTATTATTATTATTATTATTATTATTATTATTATTATTATTATTATTATTATTATTATTATTATTATTATTATTATTATTATTATTATTATTATTATTATTATTATTATTATTATTATTATTATTATTATTATTATTATTATTATTATTATTATTATTATTATTATTATTATTATTATTATTATTATTATTATTATTATTATTATTATTATTATTATTATTATTATTATTATTATTATTATTATTATTATTATTATTATTATTATTATTATTATTATTATTATTATTATTATTATTATTATTATTATTATTATTATTATTATTATTATTATTATTATTATTATTATTATTATTATTATTATTATTATTATTATTATTATTATTATTATTATTATTATTATTATTATTATTATTATTATTATTATTATTATTATTGTGATTGATGTTTAATCCGATCTTGTCTGAGACTTAAATTGGTCCAATTAAAAACTTCCTAAATGTATGAAGATTTCCTAATTTGGATTAGAAAGCTATTTCAAAAGTGAAGGAACATTTAAATTGCAGTTGTAAAAATAAAGGAGTTTTCGTTAAATGTTACTAATAAAAAGTTGTGGACAAAAATATTACTCTTAGCAAGTATTAGTGACTATAGTTATGTTTAAACTTTACATCATAGTAACTTACATGTAGTCACTAAGATGTAAATTTGAACATTAATATACTTACTAATACTTACTAAGTAATATTTTTGTCCATCACATTGTAAAGAGTAATATTAATGGAATTTTTTCAATAAAGAAACAACTAAACATATTTACTTTTTAGTTGAGCTAAACGTATTTACTTGTGAAAAGATACATAAACATATAAACATTTATATGTATTATATGAATCCACATTACTCTAATATAAAATATTACTTGACCTAATCTAAAAGTGGAACGATTGATGTAAAAAGAGTAATATTTATACACTTTAATATTTTAAAATATTACTTTTTAATACTACGTATATATTTATTGTAGGATAGAATCCACATCATAACAATTACTAAAGTTATTTGATAATACTAAAGTTTAGTATTTTATACACTTGGTGTAATATAAAGTCGTTTGATAATACTAAAGTTTAGTATTTTATTTTTGTAAAATAACTTTTTTGCATTGAGTAATGATCCATTTTTTGCATTTTCAATATGACGAAATAATGAGTAAAATGTTAAAACTTAAAAAATACTTATTTCATACCATGTTGAATGAGAAATAAAAAAATTAGTGTTTTGAGATGCTTGATAAAATAATTTAAAGTATGTGAGATAAATTAAAAAACATTTTTGTGAATTCTTTAAAATGCGGTTCATAATAATTATGTTTAATTAGTTGGGATGCTTATGTAGAAGTCCATTTTGAAAAAAAATATCAGATAATTTTTATTTTATTTTATTAATGATATATGTAGTATATTTTTTTTTACATAATTCGGGAGATTCCATTAATTCAGTCTAATCAGTTAGATTTAATTCATTACAGTAGAATCAGACAATTCAACTAATTTTAGTATATCAAACGGATTAATATTAGACCAAATTTATTTTGCTTTTGTATCACATTAAGGGCCCGTTTGGTAACATCAAAATCGAGTGAATCAG